ATAATGAGACCTAAACAAATAACATCCCTCCATAGAAACACACTGATTTAACCAGTTATTGTATGTTTCTCCACCATGATGTTGTCATTTGATCTGCTGATCTGATAGAAAACAAAAGCAGAACATCATGTTTATAAGAAACACTCACCAAAATCTGAATGCGCTTCATTTGCCACCACCTGAGCACAGACCTATAAAAGAAAACTCAAATGTTTCTCAAAGCCTGGCATGCAGAAAACTGAGTGATTACTTGAAATGATCTGCTTACCTTAAAGCAAAAGACAACAACAGTAAAAAGTTGAGCATGCAAACAAAACTCCATTGCTCTTGTTGTTCCACCTTATTTTCCGAAACAGCCTAATTCCACATAAAGACAAATCCAAAAGGAGTTAGTCATTGTTCCAGAATGAGGACAGAGAAGCTTATATATCCAACCCTAAAGATGTTAAAATAAAAAGCTCTTAAAATAACATAAAAGACCTACGTTAGATTCCCTTTTTAACAGCAACAAATAAAGAAGAAAAAAAGCTTCACAGGTTATTGTGTCACAGACAGATGTGAAGCCAAAGTCCCACGCAGAAAGTCCCACTCATTCAGTTGCTTCTCTGAGTTTCTGCGCTCACATCTGGAAGCAGCGAGCAGTGCGGGATCTCAGCTGGAGCTCACTGGCTGCCTGGACCTACGTGGGAATCGCAAAATGTGACGTCATTTTTGGACTCTGAGGAGGAGCGCTCACGCGCGTGAATAAAAGATGATGTGCGGAACTGAGTGTCGTGTAGAAAATCAAAGGGAAACACACGTGGAAAAGTGTTGCGTAAAAAGAATTAGTAGAACTATTTTATGTGCTTTAACAATAAATTATGTCACAATATATTTTAAGAATCTTTCTGACTCCGATACTGTTGAAATCTAAGATGAAAATAAAAGTAAAAGGACATAAACTCATCCAGGTAACAAAATAAGACATGTATCATTAAACCAACGGCGTCTCTTTAATATATTTTTTATATTATTAGATATTATTTCAGTTTAATATGGAAAAAACTCAGAATTCTGACTTTAAATTTTGGATCTTAATGTAGATGGGCACCATGAAGAAAGAAATGTGGAGCACTCAGCTTCACTGACAAAGATGTGAGTTGTTTGGGAGGAACAGTGACACATTGGTGGAAAATTATGGAATTAGGCGACTTTTTACGTGCTCGAGAGGTGATGATATTTTATTAATGGAAGAGCAGAAGGTGATTAAAACAAGAGACTTAATTTAGTCTCTAAAAGAGACATAGCTCCAGCTTGTTGGTAACATGTTTGTAAGCTGTCAGAATTCTCAGATTAAAGTCAGAATTGTGAGAAAAAAAAGTCTGAATTCTGAGATTAAAGTCAGAATTCTTAGGAAAAAAGTCAGAATTCTGAGATTAAAGTCAGAATTATGAGGAAAAAAAGTCAGAATTCCGAGTTTAAAGTCAGAATTCTGAGGAAAAAAGTCAGAATTCTGAGTTTAAAGTCAGAATTCTGAGATTAAAGTCAGAATTCTAAGGGGAAAAAAGTCAGAATTCTGAGATTAAAGTCAGAATTCTAAGGGGAAAAAAGTCAGAATTCTGAGATTAAAGTCAGAATTCTAAGGGGAAAAAAGTCAGAATTCTGAGATTAAAGTCAGAATTCTAAGGGAAAAAAAGTCAGAATTCTGAGATTAAAGTCAGAATTCTAAGGGGAAAAAAAGTCAAAATTCCGACTTTTTCTCAAATTATGCTGAAATAAAATTTTAAAATAAGTTAACCTGTTTTATTTTTTCAGTGGCCCTAATCCTCTTCCGTAAACTTCACTTGGGTACCTGCGCGTAAAACCATTTCACCACCCTGTAGTGGCACGTGATCACTTTCTTTCCCCTTATCTGTCTTCAAGTATAGAAAATCATTTCCAAAATATTTTCTAAGCAAAACCAATTTTTATGTGTGATTCTGATCTCCAGTCAGTAGCCTACATGAGAGATTGTTGGTGTCCGTTTCAAAGTGGTAAAATACACAAAAAACAAAAAATAACAATACATTAATAAAAAAAAAAAGCTCTTATTGGTTCTTCTAGGTATAACACAGCCACAGTAATTGAAACGGTTAAACATCTGGTATAAAAATAGACGTAAGAATTAGCAAATGTGCGAGCTGACCAGTAAACCAATGAGTCCCCTAACGAAATTAAGTTTTCCGTTGATTAAACTAAATACAGAAACAAAAAAAAGTGTTTTAAGAAATTACGAAAAAGTAAGAAAGAAAACGTGTGAAAGCAAACACAGCAAAACAAAAAAGGAAACCAATAAGTAAATAAAACAAACAATAACAATAAACCAAAAGAGAAGAAACATAATATGTTACTGTTAATGTTTTCTGGTCAAATGACCTCTGTTGTGTTTTTTAAACTATTAATATGGATAAAAAAAAAAAAAAATTATTTAAAGACACCTGCTCCATCTGCCCAGGATATCTGAAATCCAAATCAAGGCAAATAGCGCCACCCAGTGGTCAGGTAAATAACACAGTGCCACCTAAACCAATCCTCTTGATCATCCATGATTTATTGATCAAACCTTCTCATGTAACTGGTGACCTTCCTACTGAGCTTCAGGAAAACTTTTGTTTTGACATCCTGGGTTATTCTGGGTAAGAAACAGCTGCAGAACAGAAACAGCAGGACTTCAAAAGTTTGTTTTTAGGATGCTGTTTTTTATTCAATCGTTTTAGAGTACAATTTTCTTTTTAGACGTTCCTCTATGTGTAATGATAAGTTGAAGCCATAAAACTACAGTAAATTGTATCAAGTTTCATTAAGTTATATTGTAATAATGATGTAATTATAAGTAGAAACCCTTAAGCAAATTAGCAATGTATTTAAATGTTGAATAAATGAAACAGAAATCAGTTTTTAGAATATGATATTATAAAATCAGTTCAATTTGGTCCTATTCAGATAATTATTTAAATCACCCATTAATTTAGACTTTAAACACAACAGGGACTGAACCAACATCTATTATTGTTATTTATTTATTTATTTTTTTCATTTTATGTGGGATCTTTTACCAAAATACAGTAGCTAATGCTGCTTTAATTGAACTGTGGCAGGGAGCGCAGGACCCCCCTCAGGTGCCCCTCCAGATGACTGACATGTCACAGCACCAAATCCATCCTATACAGGTGTTGTTTCTAGGCAGAGGTAGAAAGAGTGCGTAAAAATTCACTGAACTAAAAGTATGGTAACCTAGATGCAAATTCTACTCAAAGGTAAAGTTACCCAGTGCAAAATATATTAAAAATAAAAGTAAAAATAACTTAAGGAAAACGTTACTTTAAATAAAAGTTTCTACGCTTTTTTTTTTTCGAAGCAGAGAAAAATCCTTCTGGTCCATTTTATAGATGAAAAGAGGAGATATGAAAGACAAGGCAACAGTTTTTTATGTGATATTTTAAGGAGCTGTAGAACCAAAAAGCCACTTGTAGCACTTAAAGAAATGAAATTTCATTATCATTCAGTTTCTGTTTTGAAACTGTTGATTTCACTTTATCTATAATCAGAAATAACTTAATAAGAATAAAAAAAATCAAGTGAAATAATTAGTTACCAAGTAAATATCTATGTTAAGTCAAAGATGATCATGTTGCTTGACCACAAGAAGTCACTCCTGTTGTTGAATGTAGCCTCACTGTCTAACCATATAAAGTGACCAGCAATACTAACTCCATCAGGTTGTTGTTGCAAAAAAATTGCAAAATGATAACTATAGATTTTTTTCAGCACTTTATAGTCCCCCCAGTAAGAATAATTGTCTTGGTGCCAAAAAGAGCCCAACAGATTTATCTTTCACAAATGGAGCAGTATGCTTATCGCCATAGTGTTCCGCTTGATTTATGCAAATAAATAGCTTTATGGGAGCTTTGCCTCGTCTGTTCCTGTTTGGCTGTGACTCCATCCTGGAGAGAAATATCAGCTGTGCTGCTGCCATCAACACCCTTGATTATAGATTTTGGAGATCGGCCTGTTTTCCAGTGTAGGCCAGTTTCTCTGACTGTGACTAACTGGATATGCTCTCTTCATCCTCTGGCATGGGAGCTGGCTCAGAGCTCGTCTGCCTGGCTGTGTATTTCCTGGATGGGGCCGCCTTTTAAAGCTGCTTTTTGTATCTCTGCTTCTGTCTCCTTGAACCCCATTCGGCCTCAGCAGATGCCCGCTCACTTTGAGCCTGGTTCTGCTGGAGGTTTCTTCCTGTTAAAGGGAGTTTTTCCTCTCCACTGTCGCTTCAAGCATGCTTAGTGTGAGGGATTGCATTTGAGTCAATTAGTTGACGCAATCAACTGGTTTTCCTTAGATAGAAAACTTTGAATTAATTTGACTGGATGATCTGGTGAACTGTAAAGTGCCTTGAGATGACATGTGTTGTGAATTGGCGCTATAGAAATAAACTGAATTGAATTAAGTATTACAGATTATATGGACACTGCAATGGGAAAGTAGAAAAGGAAAGGAAAAACATGAAATAGGAGAAAATATGAAAGAAAGAGGAGATAAAAGGGAGAGAATGATAACTTTATAGTTCTTGAAATACAGTTTAATACAGGTTAATACATTTGGAAGTAAAATTCAAGGTTTTACAACTGTAGTTTATTTTTATTCTGGAGAAATTCTTTAAATACATTCTTTGGATTTTTTTTTTTCAAGCACATTCATGATTCAGGAATAGTACATATTATAGATTTATTTTTTGATTAAAATGGCCACTTTTAATTGAATTTCATTTGAATTGAATTGTGTTTATTCTTTTTAAAATGGTTGTTTCAAACTATCTTTTTTTTTAAGTCTTGATACCTCAGATCCAGATTAAATCACTTTTAGCTTTTAGTCTATCAATGGGAAATTAAAAACACAATTCTAGCATGTACTTGGATACCTGTTTGTTAAATGTTTATTGGTGGTGAGTGCGCGTTTCCATGTGCGTAAAACCAAACCTGGAGAGGAGGCGTAGCCTCGTCGGGGCGGTGTTGCGGATCTTTGGTGGATTACAATCGCCGCCCTGAAACAGATACACACCATCGATTCCAGGTAAGAAATACAAATAGTTTTTGTTAAGCTGCTTTGCGAAGCTGCCGCTTTTAACTTCTTTGAATTCAAACTTTTAGATTTTCGCCATTGTTGTCTTGTAGTCTGATTGACGCAGCGGATCCTATACTAACTTTTCCATTCGCTATCGGAGCCTCAGTCCGCGCAATGGTTGGTCTGCCGTAGGGAGACCCAGCATGGAGGTTTTTGATAAAGATCCAGGGATGTTTTGTTGAAGTTCTGAGCTGGAGAAGAACTGGAAAAGGAAAGTGTAATGAAGGATCGTCTGGCTGAGCTGACTGCTGTAAGTTATCTAAACCAGGGCTCACAGGCACTGATGGATAAGCTGCATAGAACTGCATTTGTTTCTTCTAAATTCACACAGAATAACAACCAAGCAGAAGAAGATGTTTATTTTACAGAGGACTGCAGGGACGGTTTTATGGAGAACTATTTCAGGAGGGTACGTTTGACTAAAAACTAAAGCACACCTGGATGTGCATTAGGATAACTGCACACACCAATGAGTAATTAATGTAATAATTGATCAATTAAGGTGGAGGAAGTCAGGGGACTTATTGATAAAATATCCTACCAAGTGGAGGAGGTGAAAAAGCTGCACAGCATGATCCTATCTGCACCCAACCCAGACCATAGTAAGTTATCTATCTATCTATCTATCTATCTATCTATCTATCTATCTATCTATCTATCTATCTATCTATCTATCTATCTATCTATCTATCTATCTATCTATCTATCTATCTATCTATCTATCTATCTATCTATCTATCTATCTATCTATCTATCTATCTATCTATCTCTCTCTCTCTCTATCTATCTATCTATCTATCTATCTATCTATCTATCTATCTATCTATCTATCTATCTATCTATCTATCTATCTATCTATCTATCTATCTATCTATCTATCTAGTTTTTTGTCGAGATTCGACAATTATCGGTTAGTAAGAGTACTTTTAATTGGTCTTTTAATTCTCGCAAAACATTAAGTCCTGTCTGGGAAAAAAAAACTTTTAGATAGCTGCTACATTGAGCTCAGTTATATCTAATCATTGTAATGATGTGAATGCTGCATGTGCCTACACATACACACATATACGTAAATACTTAACTAAAACTTTAGGAACATTACTTCAGGAAAAATACAAAACAAAAACCTGAAACTTTGAGGTAGTTTTAGGTCTGACCCGACCTGTAAAAGACCACTTAGAGCCTGAGAGCACTGTGGTGTCTAGAGGCGTAAGGAAATTTTTTTGATTGCAAAAGATAAAAGGAAATCGAGTGCTTTAAAGGCATCTGTCTGGTGCATTTGGGGAGCAGGGTTCTTAAACACTCTGGATAAAATCCATCCATCCATCTATAGATTAGTTTTTTTTTTCAGCTTTTATTGTCACAAGTACAGAACAACGAAATGAAATCTCTGCATTTAATCCATCCCCTTTGACGAGCAGTGGGCTGCGATTGTGCGGCGCCCAGGGAGCAGTGTGGAGTTAAGGGTCTTTGCTCAGGAAGCCAGAGCGGCAGTCTGTGGGAATGGGGCTTGAACTCAGAACCAGTGCAACCCAAGCGCAATGCCCGAACCACTAGGCCACTGCTCCGCTCCCCTACATACATACCTACATACATACAGAGGCATAAGGGGCTTTCTGCAGAATGTGAAGGGAGAACTGTTGGACTTCTGTGTCACTCATTATGACATCATCTGTATTTTGTATGGTCACCAGTAGAGATAAGAGGTTCTGCATTTAGACACTGGCTTCATTGACTGAGGACAGTTGCTACACCAAGATAAAAGAGGAAATTCAAAACATGCAGAAGACAAACAGTAATCAGTGTTACAGTTTCCTTCCTCTCTGCCTTCCAAAGGTACAAAGATTCAATTAGATGGACTGACCAGCGATATCAAAGGGAATGCCAACGTGGTGCGAACTAAACTAAAATGTGAGTTCAGCTCTGATAGTCACGATTTTCTTAACATGTGTGAAGTTAATTAACGCTGGATCCTTTCTCCCTCCTAGCCATGGAGCAAAGTATGCCAAAGGACGACGTCGCTAACAGAGCGTCTGTGGACTTCAGGATACAGAAAACTCAGGTCAGACAAGCAGTCGATGACAGTAAAGAATGATGTAATTTCCCATAAATATAATTATTTCACATCCTCCTTGTTCTTGCACACTATAAAACAGGGGTAACCATTTAAAAATCAGCGGGGTCCGAATAAAGAAAATCAACAACCAGTAAAGGTCAAAGAGACATTTTTAATTATAATTAATTAATGCATCCATGTTATACATCGACTTTTTAAATAAAAAAATATTTAAAAAAAAAAGAATATTTTTCCATTTTTAAATCTAAAGTGTTTTTTGAAGTAGAGAACAACAATCGTTCAGTTCGGTTTGTTTTTCTTTCTTTTTTCTGTCTTCAAGCACATATTATGGTGCTCATTTTGAGCCTGGATCCAGATTTATTTTTGATTCTGTTCATGGTGGAGAATCCTGCTTCACAGCAGCAGGTTGAGCCAAACATCCTCTAAATATGCAGGGTCATCTTTGAGCACCATTTCACTTTTCTTTAACCAGTTCACCGTTCTTCCAGCAGGTGTCTAAAAGAAGCAGCAGCAGCAACCCAGACTGACAGCAGCTCATTGGCTAATTTGTATCACGTGTAGCCTGATTGCAGACACACCAAAGGGCTTTACCATATTAACAGGAGGAACGGTGCAAGTAAAATTGGACACTGTCGTCAGACAACATGCAGTAATTTATAAATGTTTTAAATCAGGCTGGGTCCGGATTAGCCAGCAGGTGGATCCGGACAGCGGTCTGCTAATCCGTTACCTCTGCTATAAAAGAATATCAATTATAGTATTGGTTGAAGTTCTTTCTCTTTTACTTAGGGAATAGGGAAATAAACAAGTGCTAATTCCCCAAATCAGTGCAAACGATTAGTTTGACATTCAGTACAAGGATTCAGTACAACTTAAAATTTTCACACTCACACTTTGGAAGAGCATTTGAATTCTAACACTTTTATTTTTCTCTCATCCTCAGCACACTGTGCTGTCAAGGAAGTTTGTGGAAGTCATGACCAAATACAACGAGACCCAAGTGACCTTTAGGGAACGAAGCAAAGGAAGAATCCAGAGACAGTTGGAGATCAGTGAGTGACCGATATTTGATGTGCACTCCCTAAATGTGCATTTTGTCTTAACCTATGAGGTACAAAACAAGTGATGAGCTGCATTTCCTTTACCATCTTAACTGATGTCAAATAGTGTAAAACTGCCCGACTACTTTAGATATGTTCATGAAAACTACATAAACACAATTGGAGGGAAAACTCTAAATGTATGTAATGTAAGCTTAAGCTAAATATTTAAGAAGACTCATTTATAGACTTAGATTTTATTTGTCATTTTGTTTACACATGTGTAAAAACAAAAAGAAATTTTGTTTGGAAACAGCTCTCTGGACAATTTCATCTTTTTTTAAAGTGCAGCCTTGAAAAATAGTAAAAATGACTGTAAATTTACAGTTCTAACATTTTTTTTTATATAATGATAAAATATAATAGAATACAATACAATAACCCTGTTTACAAAACATGAATTTATGCACCTGAAATACAAGATGGGAAACAAAGAAGCAGTTCTAATCTGACATTAGATTATTCCCATTAACAAGCTGAATGTTTGTTACTGTCAGATCCATAGTAGGACACATATCCATGGTTTTAACATAAGAGAATAACAGAAAGTCTATAGTAGGGCTGTCTTTCCCGGTCCCTGTGGCTTTAATGGTAGGCTCCATGACTCCACACTGCAGAAAGCAGATAGTGATACTGGAGACTCTCTTGTGTTTGCGTTGCCAGGGAAATGGGCAGAGGGCCTGGGTGACCCATGCAACTGAAGTCCACACGTCTTCAGCAAAACACACCAAAATGTTCAATCTCTACTGACATAGTTTGTTTATGTAAATCACTTGGAATGGAGAGACTTTATGCTAGATGTTAGGTTGTGCTCCTTACTCTGTGTGTTTTGCTCGGTTTGTGCCTCCGAGGAATAGGCGTTGCAAAAGGTGTGTGACACAATAAGCCCCTGCACAGTGATCTGCCTCTCCAGGGAGAGTGTTGCACAAGAGGAGGCAATGCTTTCTCTTTATAGAGTTTCACATCGTGCTTCTTTGTGAGCAATGCAAAGGCCTTTGTACCCAAGGTCTTTTCAAACTACTACCTTTGCAACCTCAGTTAGGAATTTAAGCACCACTAAAATCCAATGGGAAATTATAGCAACTAGTAACAAATATATATTGAAGTACAATTGTGATTGTTGTCCAAACAATATCATCAAAGTAACATCATCTCTTAGAATTTAGATGATCGACCAGCAGTTGGTAGAATAGGGCAGCGCCTGCTCCATGCAATCACACTCAATCAGCAGCAGTACTTACTTAACAGATCAGTGTAACTCCTCAATCAGCAGGGCCTTTCGACAGGCTTCTGTTCAGTTTGATTTGATAATAACCAATGCGCTGTCCCACATATGGGGATAGTCTTTTTTTTTATACAGCTTCAGGTTTGAGCTCAAAGATGTACCAAAGTATCATGATGTAAGATGAGCCACTGTTTCATGATCTGGACAGAAGGATGTTAGCCGCCAGCAATGATAGTACATCCAGCTGGATTCAGAGATGTTGCTATGGAGCTGGGGCCTCATGTACACTCAGCTCTTATACTATGAGTTGGCTGTAGGGTGAAATTGTGAAACGTGTGCTGGAAAAACACCCAAAATAATATTCAAATGTATAAAACTATGCATACACAGGAACCGCACAACTTTCTCTCGTTCATTCGAATGCACAACTGCATGTGGCCTAAGGATCGCCCCACTCCTTTCCTGCAGATGTATATGCAAATTGGTATGAATACCCTGAAGGCACCCACCACGTATCCAAATAACCATGGCAATGGAGCTGTCAGGCCGTCACAGAGCGACTTTGTCTACACACCATGAAGGATATTTATTGTGAACTACCCAGCGCTTACTCATCTTGCTCTGCAATGTCTTTTTCACCACTGTGTAGCTGCTACATTGAGCTCAGTTATATCTAATCATTGTAATGATGTGAATGCTGCATGCGCCCACACATACACAGACACACATACGTAAAATACTTAACAAAAACTTTAGGAACATTACTTAAGGAAAAAAAAAAAAAACAAGCCTAAAAGCCACAAATAGAGTACACGTATATTAAATGAAAATGCTTTTCCTAAACAAAACCAGATTTGTTTACAGATTTTTGCAATATGGGTGCATTCATAGCTCTGATTACTGTCATGGTTTAGAGGAATCTGATGTATATAAGCAAAAATATAGATGAGGCCCTTCCATCTGACTGGCAGGGCACGGCTCAGACATGGCTGTGAAATACCCGGCCAGTCATCTCCCTCTGAAAAGCTCTGATTGCAAAGAATGCAGTGAAGTAAGAACTTAAACTGGCACAGTTGATGCAAGGTTTCTCCCCCTGTAATGCTGCTAATCAGTGATGCATCATCACATACCAGCAGCTCATAGGGATAACTAAATGCACATCTTCTCTGAATTCTAATATAGGGAATGTTCTCCAGCAGTGCCAAAGCTACCGTCGCTACATACCTAAAGCACAAGTTTATGTAGTTTATTCATGGAAGTATGAATGTCTCCTCATTGTCCCATACTTGACAGTCTTAGAAATTAATCTGCTGATCCAAAACATTTCAATTTAACAAGAATGAAGGTCCCCCTTGGATAATTTACATGCATCTCATGTGGTGTGGTGCACAGATCAATGTGCATTTACATCTACACCTCACAAGAACATGGGAAAATGTACAGCTTACATCTAACTCAGGCATGTTGTATCATTTTTGGTACGTTACTTCACACGTTATGCTTAGATGTATGAAACATTTTACTGCAAGGTTTTTGTTTGTATGCAAGAGTTTTAATTGATAAGCCAGCATCCCACACATTATTATTACATCCTCAGATATTAGCCAGCAACCAGTGGGCCATAAAGTCCTCGTTCATTTTTTTCTATGAGGGCTAAGATTGCAAAATTCGTAGACAATTCCTCCATATCTGAAAAGATTTAAATTTGACTGTTTGCAGCTGGAAGAATGACCTCAAATGAGGAACTCGAGGACATGCTGGAGAGTGGAAACCCATCAATCTTCACATCTGATGTATGTTTCATTCATTTATTCATTAATTTGTGATTTAGTCTTGTTAAAGTCAATCTGTTGGGAGGAGCTCACTATCTGTTATATTTTGGTTCAAAGTTGGGAAATCTGTTTTTCTCCCACAGATAATTTCTGATTCCCAAATCACCCGTCAGGCCTTAAATGAGATTGAGTCACGCCACCAGGACATCATGCGTCTGGAGTCCAGCATCAGGGAGCTTCATGCAATGTTCATGGACATGGCAATGCTGGTAGAAACTCAGGTATTAGCTTTATATAAAAATAGTTTTTGTCATATCACATACTTTTTTTATATTGATATTCTAGGACTAATGCTATATTTCACAGGGGGACATGGTGAACAATATTGAGAATAATGTCTCCAATGCAGCTGAGTACATTTACCGTGCAAAAGAAGAGACTAAAAAGGCAGTGAGATACCAGAAGAAATCACGTAGGGTATGTGTGACCCTAAATTATCTTTGAAATGAAAACATTCAAGATGTTGAAAAAGGTTGACATATTTTCAGAAGCTAAATATTTTAAGTTAATATAATGTAACTACTTTACTTGGCAGAAATACACCATCCTTGCCTTTGCTGTGTTGATCCTGCTTGCTGTCATTGCGTTAATTGTTGGCCTGTCTGTTGGACTAACCAAACGCCCTCAATGAGGCCTCTTGTCTGCGGGAGGTAACGGCCCCTACCACACACCACACACACAAAACCCTAACTATTACCAAAATGTACCTAATCCTAACCTAAACTGAATTCCTACCTTAGTCCTAAACCTAATCCCAACTCAAAGAACAGAACTTTACCATATAGGGACCAGTTGAATGTCCCCATATGTACCTGTAAGTCTCGCATGTAGGATATTTTACAAAATACTTCCCTCACATTGTAGGTAAAACAAGACCACACACACACACACACACACACACACACACACACACAAAAACTTCCACTCTTTGGGCAGAAAATTCAGTTGGTTGTCTTAATAAAACTGTATTATCATGTCAAAAGTAAGTAAAGAGGTAGAGATCAAAGATTTGCAATTAATTTCAGTCTTGGACCTTTGTTTTATCTAACAAATGAATGGAGTTTTACAGTTTTAACTGGATCAGAAATACATCTTTGGGCTGCACAAGGGTGCAGTTTGCGGCCCTGTTGCCTTGCAAGAAGGTCCTGTGTTTGATTACCAGCCTAGGGTCTTTCTGCATGGAGTTTGCATTTTCTCTTCAGATTTCAACTATCTCAGATTAGGGATTTGCAAAGCTAGCCTTCGTCTGCATTCAACAAGGATGCACATCCTCACCTTGACTCTAAAGGTTTTCAGTTTTTTAAAGATTTCCAAACCCAGGACTGTCAGGGGTTGAAAGCTCTAAAGAATAAAACTACAGGCTTGATCTTGGTATCTGTAAAAGCTGGCTCCTTGATCCTTTACTGTTCAGTACTCTGCCAGCTGGACAAAATGTCCAAGTTTGATGTCCTTTGGCACAAGGAACCTTTTGAACTTGATAAAATTAGAAATGAGATGAATAATCAGATAAATCGTGATTATTCAGATATTGAAGTAATCATCAACTAATTTGATACTCAAAATGAATTGTTAATTAGAGTAATGGCAGACAGAAATTAAAACATGCTATTATGTGAAAGAATCAGAAACCTTTATAGCAGTAATTGAGAAAAAAACGACAAAAATATTTTTTATTTAAATTAAAGGAAGAATCCTAATATGTGTATATGCATGTATGTGTATTTCAAATTTACAGTTCATTTAAATGTGCAATTAAGTTATTTTTCTCTAAACTCTAAACATTTGTTTAGAAATGTTAATTTACATATATTAGCATCTGTTTTGATTGATTGATTTAGCCAAAAAATAAAATGAGACAGCTGAAAAATTGAAAGACGTGTAGGAGCGAAATGAGCAGCAACAGCCAAAGTTTTTGTCTTTATATAGCTGGCAGATGAACAGGTGCTCTGTCTGGATAGAAAGTAGGCCTAGACTTTCCTTTGAATAACTTAAAACTTTTTTACTTCCTTTGGTTTCTTTTTTAACCCACCACTATCACTACATTAGCTAAGGTCTAGTCTTCCTTTAGTTACCACTTCCAGCCGGAGAGTGTAGTTATTACTATGATTTGATGTGTTTATGAATCAGAAAAGATTGGACTTTGGAGTTCATGTTTTCTCCAAATGAGGGACAAAGTTGTCTAATTTGGGTCACTAGCCAGGTCTCTAGTAGTATAGTTTAAAATTGTTTCTATTGTTCTTAAGCCTCCTAATAACAACTATAGGCATCTGTAATATGAACTACTACCTTTGGCCCCCTGAAGCATTCATTTACCATGAAGTGATAGTTGTTTTCTAATGTTAGTTTTCAAAACCGAAAGAAAGACACTTGCCTTCACTGAGATTCCGTCTATTTTCATATGGGTGCCATGCATTTCATGACTTAAAGTTGCTTAAACATGGCATCAAGCAAAATCTGGTGACTAGACTCTTTATTGTGAAAGCCAAACAAAGTCGTAGACCATTTAGAGCCAAAAAACACATTATGATACTTACCAAAAAAAGAAAACAGTTGCTGTCACTGTGCAGTTTTGGTTTTAATCACTTGTTTTAAACAGTTGGGGAATCACTGCTCTATTTTAAAAAAATGAAGGCCACTTGTTTTTTATAGGACAGGGAGGGTGTGAATTCATCAGGATTATTTACATTAATAAATCAAGGGAAATACCACTTTGTGCATGATTTTGAAAAAGGAATAACTTTAAAGCAAAGTTAAAAAGAATGATTTTGGGTGATATAGGTCATTTAATGAATTTCTAAGTACTATTTTGCATAATTAACTGATCATTTTCCTCTAATTTTTTACAGACATTTCTCTACCTTGCCTTGTGCGGAGGCTTCCTGCTTGTACCGTACTCATCTCGCTAGCTTGAGTCTATGGCGTAATTTCTTTCTTCACAAAGGGCCATCTCCACAACAAGACCACAGCTCTCCATTCGGTACCATTACGAGAAAGATTTCCTTAGCACAGAGATGCAAGTGTAGTTTGCAAAAGGCACATCACACCTAGTAAACTGGAAGCATAAAGGTCACTACAACATCACTGGAAAGGGTTCTGCTTCACACTTGCTTGTTTGCATGTTTTTTACTGTTACAAGGTATATAAAAAAATGTGTGATACCTCTTATATGTAGTGCATAACTTTGTGGGAACTGTTCCACTTGAAAAATATTTAATAGGTTAATTTACCATTTTCTGAGGTTCACCAAGACCTTGGCACTAAATCATTACCAGTATATATTGCGATAGACAACTGATCAATATCAATAGAAAGTATGTCCAAGTAGATTTTCGGTCTGAAACTCTGATCCAGGGCTACATGGTATTCTGTGGAATACAGACAGAGGAGCATGGTTGGTGGTCAGTTTGACCTAATTTTAAAAGTTAAAATAATAACTGGCCTCACCAAATTGCCAAAAATGCCTGAAAAACCATATATTATATTAAATGCTGTTCTTTAACCCAGGGGAGGGTCTAGCCTGCCATATAAAACCATTGTTATGATAAATAATAGCCTTACTGTGGCAGTAATAGGCTGCAAATGTGGAAGCACCATATACATGCTGCATATGGGACGTGACAGATAACCGGTTAAAGATTACATTCATACTGGGTTAGCGTTACAATTTTAATGTGGCCTTCTTCTCCCTCAGGCTTTATTTCGAATAGATAAAGAAAAAAGCAAAAAATTATCGATATTGACTGATATGACAGGCTTATATCGTAACACATTTTTTGCCATATTGCACAGCCCTAGGTTGACCTAGGAAGAACAGCTGCTGGCTGAAGCTTCATTTTTTGGCAAGAATACATGAAGGTCTATCAGTCTTTTAAGATGTTGTTGCAAAACCTGTCAACTTAGCATGACTAGTTGCAAACTTTAAAAATGTGATTTGAATTTTCAGAAGATCCAACTGTTGTAACCTTCATGTATAATGTAAAATTCTAACGTTGCAGTGCCAGCACTTGTTGTCCTCCCACTTTTATTACTTTTTTAGGTTAGAAATTTAAAGGTGAAAACAGATTTATTACTTATAGATACTTTAGAAAATGCAAAGAAAATCTTAATTAAACTTAAGGGTGTGATGACTGAAATTATCATGATAAAAGTGGTGCATTAATGCTTTACCTTAGATCATTCTTTCAAGAGCGCCCATTTTATTTTCTGTGTTTTGTACTTAAAGTGCATTTCTGAATGATGTAAATAAAATATCACAAATAAAGGGTTGGTGTAAAATGATTTATTTTCTTGTACTGTTTTGCTGATTAAATATAATAAAGTAAACACATGGGTAAAAACTGCACACCTCCGCATCTTTGAAATGGCTAGCCTCTAAATGTTATTCCAAGGGTTTGCCTTTTACATTGCCTTTGTAGCAGAAAGCAGATGGAAACAGAGGCGTTTGTTTACTTCAGGCCTAATGGGCACTTTGCACAAAACATTTGATTCTGGCGTAATGAACCAAACAAGATTAGAGGAGAAAGTAAGTCGGCCCACAGAGGGCAACTTCGTTTCTCCTTTTATTTTGACGATCAGAGGAACATTACAGGAACATTAGAGGAACATTCAGTTCAGAAGATGATTAAAAAGTTACTGAATTAAAAAAATAGTTCAGGAGTATTTCACCCTACCTTATAAGTTGCCTTACCTTTGACCTTTACATATATTGTTACTTAACAACCATGCATGTTAATTTGTCAAGTAATGCATTTTTGTAAATGTACATATAAATATGTAAATAATCTACAAATGAAACCCTAATCCTGAAAAGATAAGCTTTCATTTTTGTTAAGCCCTCTGTACTCCCATACTGCTACACGTCATCAATTGCCTTCAGTGGATCTTCATGAATAATTAGCCACAGAGATCGTAGAGACCTTGTTCAAAGTATTGTCCATGTAAGTTCAGTAGCATGACCATTCAAAGTGCAGTACCTGACAAAAATACTACATTGGCATAAAGGAAGTAATCAAAGAAAAATGAATCACTGAAATAAGATCATTATATTACAATCTGAAAAACTCACACACAGAGATAGGACAATTAGGAGAAATTTATTGATACAAATACTTTGTCTTTGGCGCTTAGACCTTGGCAGGAAACATAGCTCTTAATTTTGATAGATATGCATGAACAGGAGCAAAGAATATGGCTGTTTCTACCCCATTCCTGAAACTGGCGGTGGAGTGGAGATAGATGAAGTTGGTCAGTCTGTAGACTGCTGGTCTGTAGATGTGATGTCATCTTTAAAATGATAGAGCAGCCTTTAACACCAGAGGCCCACTTCATAAAACCAATATAAGTGGGGATTTCCTAGATTTTCCAGGTTTAACTAGGCTTCAACTTGATCTCAAAGAAGAAGTAGCACATCGGCCACCATGATGATTAATTCTGTGCAGGCTTACTTAATCTTGCTGCTTTTTCTGTTCACACTGATTAGAAACCAATGTATTTTGTCAGTGATTTCATAATTTTTCTGTGCATTATAGTATTTTTTAGCCTACTTGAAAAACCACTGATTCATACTATGTTTTAAAATGATCATGATACCCTATACTATGATTAACTTTATAATTTGCTGTGTGGACATTGTTACTGTTTAATTGTGTTTAGACGGTAATTGTTCTTAACAGAAGGGTCTCTGACAGATAGATTATTGCCGTGTTGAATGGATCAGGAAAATGTTTAATAAAGCATTTTCCATAAAGTCGAGCTATGTAAGTTGTTGCAAACATGTGTCTAACTTAAATAAGGTGAACATAGTTGACATTTCCCAACAGTGACCTGCATGATGGGGGGAGTGGCAGCCTATTAGTTAGGGCATAGAGCTTGGAATCCAGAGGTTCTGAGTTCAAGACCCACTGCCATAGACTGGCACTCTGGGTCTTTGAGCAAGTCCTTTAACTCCACACTGCTCCAGGGGCACAGTGGCAGCTCATTGCTCCTCAAGGGGATGGGTTCAATGAAGAGAGTTCATTTCATTGCTCTTTAATTGTGACAGTGTAATGACAATTAAAGCTATAAAAAAAGCATTACTACTGGCCTCCTGTGCTAATCAGCTTGGTCCCAAAAAATCAGCATCACACAGAATTTTTGTCTTTGCAGTACATTTGTACTAGCTGTACTTTTCTGCTTTTGATGCAAATTTGTACCCCTCAGCTACTGTAGTATGATGTGGCAAGCATGGATATTTAAGCCATAGCATGGCAAACAGTATTATCCCCTGATGAATAAACGAAAGATCCATTAGATAAAGAGGGAAGAGGTTGCTGAATTGTGTTAGATAAGTCGTACAACAGGTGTATCCAATAAGCTGATTGCATACTGACAGAAAGTGAGAGCTAAAGCAGAATAAAACTAACATAGATGTCATAATCTGATCAGAGAATACCAGGTAAGTAGAGACAAATACAAAGACAGCTGAATAACTAAAAAGAAAAAGAAAAAAGAAATGCACTAACAAGGAAAAACATGTGGCAAGACCAAAACAGAGACCTGTTTATTAGGGACTAAACTAATAAGGAGAATAAGGAAAAAGTGAACTTACAGTAAAGTAAACAAAACTGTAATTAAAGACTACCCTTAAATAACAATGAGAAATTTTAAACCAACAGAAAAAAAGAAAATAAAAACCATAAATAACACAAAACAACGATGGATTTGAAATTTTTATGTAATGCTTTTAGCATATAAAAGTTAGATTCCCTTTCTAAGCAAAAGTTAGAAGTTCCTGCTATTTCTATGCCTTTTCTTTAATTTTTCTGATGAGACAAAGCTGGCGGTCACTAAAGGAGGAGCCTTTAAAAACCTGGTTATAAGGCTAAATAAACTCTGGCTTTCATTTAAGTTTAAATATTTCTGCATGTACTGTTGACCGGTCCAGACGTATCCTGATATACACACAGGCCCTGCCCCACTGCTCCTAACAGGAAAGCAGTTATAGGTAGTTGGATATTTCCATTTTGTCATGAACAAGTCATTTTTAGTCCCTTGTAATTGACATAGAAGATATCTTTACATTTACTAGGAGAAGCTATGGTTTTATTTCAGGATAATTAGGTTGATTAGAGTTCATGCTTGGTCTGTTCACAGAAAGGGTAAATATTGAAATTGAATCAGAAAATTCATAAAGTAAATATTTTTAAGTGCAACCTCATGCAACCAGATTGTCTTTGCTAAAACTAAAGTTGGAAAAAGTTTGTCAATAATTTTATGATACATCACAAAACTCTGTGATTTTAACATGGCTGTCTGGGCTTTTTTTCTACTCTATATATTTCTATCGCAATCCTAAGAGTGAATTTCATTGCACAGTAGAGTGTTTACTGACATTTGAGCTGATAGCAAATAAAAATTCTCCATCTAATAGTCTATCCTGCCCTGTTTTTTTTTTTTTTTTTACATGCAAGCATAGTTGACACAGTGGAAACTGTATTGTTCTGAAGGTTTGACCACTACGCCCTGTATAGTCACATTAGTTTCTGTCACGCTATCCCCTGTGGCTACATTTACAACAGAGGCTTTAATTTTAGCATCTAATTTTAACATCTAATCAGTTAGATATATATTTATATATATATAAATGTGTTAGAGTATATATTGTTCTGACTTCTAACTCTGGTACTATATGATACACCAGCAATTATTTGGTTAGAGGCACATGAGCCTTAAAATAAAAATTCAAGACCCTTTAATCAATAACCATAAGAATGTTTTTTTTCTTCAATATATTAGGTTGAACTTGAAGATAAATTTAAATTTCCTTTGGCAGCTGGGCTATCTTTTGTGTCTTTTTGTGCCTAGAATAATCCAACATCCATTATTATGTAACTCTGCAGAATACAGATATTTATAATCTCAGCATGCTGGAGTTATGACATCATCCTGCACTGCTAACCATGACAAGCGTTGGGGGAAGCATGCAAACCGTTCTGTCATGGTGGGTTACTGCTCTTAACAAACAGGAAGTATCATTGAGACGTATAATGTGACTGATAGGTGGCTTATCTGCTGTCATGTACACGGGGACAATGGGCTGTGAGAAGACTTGCACGGTGGAGAAACTCCTGAGACCTCACAGAGAAGTGGTGGAAAGCCAGAAACAAAGGTTACCCACAGCAAAGAGGAGCAGCCGGACGAGAATCACAGATAAGGTGGGAATAGACTGCTGTTTGGGAAGCTTTCAGAGGAAAGGCTTTGATTGAACTGGGTCTGTACACAACAGCTTCAGCAACAACTGATGCTTAAAACCATCATCAGGATTCTGTGACAGATGAAAACCTTCACCTATTTTTACCTAGTTAAGCTTTTTTTTTTTATAGCACGACTGTTGAATATCTGCTAAACATGAATCATGCTGCGTATTTAATGGGATATTTCCTTGTCGCTAAGATTACCCAACATGTTATTATGTAAGATGCATTTAAATAATTTCATTGTTAAACAGAGATCACAAATTGTTTTGCGTCTGGGTAGATTTTCTATGTGATTTAAATTTCTCGACATTTGGGAATCACTCGGAATAAAAAAGTTAAAAAAATTTAATAGCAAGATTGAAGGGTATAATAGGTGTTAGGATTCAATACTGGATCTAAAAAGAAAGTATGTGGGGTTGATTACAGGAAAACAGTCAAATGAAACAAAGACACTACTGAAAAAAAACAATCACCGAGCATCATTAGGGTGAAAAATACATTACATGTTTAACTGATGAAAGTTGTTTTTACTTTAATGCTGAACAGATGTACCACACTAACTTATCACAACTGTTGCTAAACCTCAGCCCTTAATGTTTGAGTATTGTTTCCCCCTCTGGGAAAACTGGTGACATCATTAAATTGAGCACACAGTCAAAGTGGTTGAAATGAACTGACACATGTTAACATTTATATATCTGTAATGCATAAATACAATTTTAGATCACATTTATGATGTGTTGATGATATGGGGGACATTTCTGCTTTCATGTTGGTAAAGTTTTGCCACCAACTTTTGGCATAAACACACAGACAGAACCAGAAAGCTGTTGTATTTTATCTACAGCTGTTGTAGTACTGGTTTAGATTTGACAGTTGGGTTGGACACATGCATAGTGCTGTCTTTCAAAGTCGTCTATTTCTGGTGTTTTTCTGTTTGTATCCCTGCTTCTGTCTCCTTGAACCCCAGTTGGCATCAGCAGCTCACACTGAGCCTGGTTCTGCTGGATGTTTCTTCCTGTTAAAAGGGAGATTTTCCTCTCCACTGTTGCTACAAGCATGCTCAGTTTGAGGGATTGCTGAAGAGTCAATGAGCCGATGCAATCAACTGGTTTTCCTTAGATAGAAAACTTTGAAACAGTTTTGACTGGAAGATCTGGTGAACTGTAATGTGTCTTGAGATGACATGTGTTATAATAATAATAATAATAATAATAATATTAATAATAATACATTTTATTTATCAGCGCCTTTCTTCAC